GCATTTTACGCGTCTTTAACTCGTTGAAAGTAAGTCTCGCGCGGAAATAAATATCGGGAGTGTCGAGAATAGCCGGGGCGTATCGTGAAGACGTCATTTGTAAGTAATCTTCTCATTTCTGCTCATGGTATATGTATGATCAGATTTCCCAGCCCTGAATTCGGGACACTTCATAAATGTGTGAAGCGGGGGGAGGGGGGAGGGGGGTAAAAAGATCTGAAAATTATTTGACAATCATTGAAAATGATGACAAATCGATGTCCCGAATAGCACTCGAAAAAATTTGGGACAAAATTGGGATGTCTGGTCATCTTATTATACTAGAAAAAGATATAAAGAACGGTGTAATTAGAACTTAAATTGAGTAACTAGAATTTCAATCGGTTGGATTCTAGTTATTTCTGCGTAATAGCTCGTTTATTTTTATATTTAGTTTGTGCATGCCTATATCATTATATACTACTTAAAATAATTGAGGGATCACTTCTTGAAATGTACACGTATATTATGTAACTGATTCTTAAGATATCTAATATTCTCTGTTATGTATCCTTAATCTTAATGTTTAGCGAGCACATTTATATAAATATGATAGTCTAAGGTCTATTCTTTTTAGCTGAACTGTCTGAACTAATGCACATTGGTGCAATAAATTAGAGTGAGACAAAGATCTCTAATTACTTACTGTTGCATCTTGTTCAAGCTTTAAAATAAATCAACGCAATAATTTGTTGAGCTTGATCTCCTAACTATTTCGAGTAGTACAATGCGCATCGCAGAATTGCGCCGCATCGCGAGGAATTCGCGACATGTTGCTCGCGTTGATTTAGACCTCGCGATCGTCGCGGCCGTGTTTTCTAGATTTGTTACACGTGCACTCGCGTTTCACGGACGGATGTGAATTTCGTTGAATTCAATTCGTCAAACCAACACGAAGCTAAATTTCGACATGTTATCCATCGCGAAGTAATTCAATTTAGCAATTGCATGTGTCTGGCAATTACGTTGTTCGCGTTAATTACACGATTGTCGCGATTTTAGTTTCCAATGCGAGAAACGGCACTTCAAGTATGAATGATGCGTTCGCAAATAGACAGCCGAGAATGTAAACTGAAAGTTTTTCGTTCGTTCACGTGGGCCGATTTTTTCGGACGAAGAAATAGAGATGCCGGACAATTGGCGTAATGCGTTTCGCTCGCGGACGCCTTTGCAGATCTTTTTACAATCGCCGCGAGTCCAATTCCTCACGCTCGCGTTCTCGCGTCGTTCATATTTCCTCGAGATGTTTTTCGTTAAATGAATCTCTCTCGTTAAAATGAAATTCGGAGAATCGTCATGCGAGTTGTCTCCGTAAAAATATTGTGGGAGGATCTTCGCAAAAATATTGCGAAGCCGCGGTGCGTGAAAATTTCACGCCACCAGCTAGCCACCACTGCGTCCGCTACAGTGTTGATTCGATTTCGCAATCGGATTTTCGAATCGCAACCTTTTACACATATTTCACGAGTGTATTCTTGAGAGGACGAACTTTAGAATGCGTATATAGACTGATTCTGTTAACTTGAACACACAGAATTCAGGTTGAATTCTGCGGCTCGTCCATATTTCACCGGACATTTGGTTAATCCGACCTCTTTTTCCCGCGCACGTGTGTTAACAATGCACCGCGATCGCATTGTAAAAACGCCGCGGTCCCTTCCGCTCGCGTCGCCCGCGCGCGACCGCAAGATGTATTACTCAAGAATCGATATTTTCGAAGTCAGTAACTTTGGCGCGGACGCGATATAATCCGCCGATATTACACGTGACCACACGCCCGTTCAAAAATTGAACGACCCGCTTCGACGGGGATCGCACCTCATAAATTATCAGCGGGGGTCCAGCGCGGTATCCCCAGTTCGGGCGCATGACTCCGGAGGACCGGAGTCGTCTGGAATTTTGAGTTATGAGAGCATGGTGACTCTGCAACTCGGCCGGTGATCGACCCCTCTCGCCACTCCCTAAGCCCTGACGTTTATATTTGATGTCCTCTGAGAAGACGCTGCTCTCGCGGCTCGGATACTTTCAAGGCGACCATTACGGCCGCTCATTACGAGGGGGAAGGGAGGAATTCGTTTCGCGTTTAATATGATTTGTGCAAGTGTTCGCGGCGCCGTGGCGTTTAAGATTGCGACTTGTTTGAGCGGCGACGCGTCGCCCTCGAAATTGATGAAGTTGTGGGGGATTTCGAGAGGAGATTTAATGCCGCTTTCGTGGAAATTAATGGCGTCGCTATGTAATAAATTGATTATGTACGTTGTTCGGGTTGACACTTGATAAGCCTCTCGGTATTAATTCCGTGTAAACTTAGGCGTGTGGCGGAGCTCACAGAGGGAGAGGGATATAAGTTTCGATATTTTTGGAGCACAGTCGAAACGTGGACGCGAGCGCCTAGAATAACGCTGAACGTATCTGTAAAAATGCACTCGGGGAAAAAGCGATGGTGACTACACAGGTGACAACGAGTTGTTTTGTATACGTAGAATTGTAATGTATATGCAGGGTGTGTATGTCCCAGCTCGATTTCACAATCTCTCGCGAGAATGTGGAGCGAATTGAGGTGAACACAAAAATCCTGTAACGTTTTGCGGTATTATAACTATCGAGATATTAATTAAAGAAGATTTGTAAATGATGAGAGGATTTGTAAAAGATGATTTGTAAACGCTCAATACGGTGGATGAGTTGCAGTGACAACATCTGTCAACAACTTGTGTACTTGTAGGTCAAACTGAACAAAAAGGTCCTCTACCATTTTACAAATGACCACGTAGAGATCAATATATTTTGCACACATTACAATATTCTACCTATAAAATTCGTATAGTTGTCACCTGTACAATCGTCATCGACATGTTCTTTTTTGAGTGCGTATATATTTAGCATTCTGGTTTTACGACATTAAGAACGAAGTTACAGCTAAGAGATAAAGGGCACCGGTGGCAGGGGGGCAAAAAGAGGAAACAAGATGTAGTTTTACGGTTCCCGCGAGACGCGTGCGCGCGCACATTGTGCAGCACACACACACACACACACACACACACGTGTGCATTTGAAAGTATAGCTACTTCATCAATTTTTCATGCAGCTTTCTCGTAAGAATTTATTCAAGATACAGATACGGTCTTTCTTCTTCTCTTTCCCACTCCAGATAGGACAAATACTGCACGTCATCAGACTCATTGATTATTCCTTCCTTCGTGTCTCTAGAGTCAAACGCCGCGAGAAACAGTCACCTCTCACGACAGATTTGTCCGATTGATCGATCAGATCCCAATTGTTGCTCCCAACTTCAGATAAGATTAATAAATCGGCATCTCGGAGCCCGAGGAGCGGCGCTAAGCCGGCGAGAGGCCATCGCGATATCCCGCGTGATCAATTTCTTTTCTCGGGTTGCCCGTCCCCGCCGGGCCATCGTCATCCGACGACTAATTGTTTCTTTCGTCGAGTACACGGACGGGCCACTCGATCACGCGCGATGATCTATAGCGGAGTAAATCTTGTTTAGCGAGATACAGGTGGTCATCCTGTACAACGGGAATAGAGCTTGATGGATGGCCGGTACGATCTTGCGGCGCCTCGTGGTTTAGACGCCAAACATACTGATACGTTAACACGGCGGGGCGTTCAGTGTGGTTTAACAAAGCTTTGACCGACTCGCCGGCCGCGTTCGTTTTATGGAGATGCATCGGCCATCGTAGTCCGCGGAGATTCCGGTGCGTTCGACGTTCGCTCCCGAGGTGGATGCGCGATTTGCCTGTTGCCCATCGCGACATCCGCGTCTAGGAATCATTGAAGTGGGGTCTACAATGAGAACTTAAGCTTTAAGCCTGAAACCTTAAGAAATTGACCAATCATTGACCAGTTATTTTCCTTATATTTGACTGTGACTGGTCAATTTTTTACAGCTTCAGGCTTAAAGCTTAAGTTTTATGGCTTAAGTTCTCATTGTAGATCCCGCTTTAAACACAAGAAAATACAAAGTGATTATTAGTATCTTCATAATTGTGATTATGAAGGTACTAATTATCACTTTGTATTTTTATAGAAATATATGAGGTGTACTCTTTTTAAAATTTTAAAAGGCTGTTGTATGATTATAATAACTAATAAATCATTCTTATAATTTACCGACTATTAGTTTTAAATTATTGCAATACTTTTAAATGTTTAATATAATGTTAAAGTTTTATACTTGAAGAGGAAATATAATATATATTGTTTTATTTAAGACATTTACAATTTTTAACAGTCTGTATTTTAAAAACAGCAGATCTCTTATACTTCTATAAATTACGATTATGATTTTCTCTGTCTCTTGTCTTTTACTTT